AAGTAAGTCAAAGGTTTGATTTAGTGTCTTATACTAATACGTTTTTAGTATCATCAACCGTATTAGTATCACGTCAAACTTTTCTTTTTCTCTTTTTTCTTGGCAGAAATGGGCTTCCATACACATTCTTCATTAGGAGGAGTATGTTTAGCTTGTTCTGTATCATGCATGCTAACCTGAGCTTCCCAGTGTAAAGAATTGTAGGATATGAAAGATTTGAGGCCAACTATGACATTTCTCTTTGACATTAAGCTAACCAAGCCCCTTACCAGAGGCCAGTGAATCACAGTAGGGGTGAACTGACACCCTATTTCTCCGCCAGGCCCTGTGGGTCCCACTGAGGTGACATTTTCCAGCCACTGTTTTTGTTGTTGTTGTTTTTGTTGTTTGTCTATCTCTTCTTCCCTTCCTACTTTTCACATCACCCGTCCAATAGCACCTCCCCTTGCCCCCACACACCATGTGCAAAAACTTCAAACGGCAAGATCAAAACAACCTTCATCACACAGGCAACTATAGGCGATGGCAAATGTCACATATTGTTACAGCCAGATTTTTTCAGGGGGACAGAATGCATAAAAAGTGGGACTGGTCAGTGAGTGCCCGCCGCAGGGGACTGAGAGCAGATTTAGTGACATGAAACAGCCCGTCATGTTTTGGAAAGCTTTGTGGCCACTTTGTGTCATTGTCTGGCCCTGATCCACATGCTGTGCTGCCCACATTGTACCAAAATCAGTAAAAACATAACTCCCTGTGTTGTTTACACGTGACAAAAGCTCCTCAGGCAAACTGTAAACAACTTAGCCAATATGAATCGTCTCATGTTTTCTGTTTGATGTTGTAGTGACGAGTAACCTTGCCATGAGAATCAACTCTTTAGTTGGAGCTCTATGGGCAAAGTTAGCCTCTCGTGTCTCGGGATCATTGCAGGAAAGCGCTTCACCTGTGATGTCTCCTCACTCCCCTGGTTCCAGTATTAGGTTCTCAGCCAGTTAAAGCAGCAGATGCACCTCTATTTTAAGGTCTGATATGTGCTGATGCTGTGAGATCTCAGCACATCGCCGTGGCGTCTGGTAGAGGAGGTGCGTTGCAGAAGGCCGGTGAATTTTGAGGGTGACAAGTGAGGATGTGTATAATTGTCCACCTGTCTTGTCATAACCTTCCGTTCTCCTTGTTGCAGAGTGCTGAAACACCTGCACAGGCAGGCAGGGTGCCAGGCTGTCATCACAGATGCTTCGGCCTGTCAAAGTAGCACAGTGCAAGTTTTTGCTGTAAATACACACCTCTTTTACTGGCCCAAATCACAAAAGAGGGTTTAACAGATACATTGCCTGACTAAGATGCCCTAGTTTTACCATGAATTGAAATAAAGCCTGGGTTACGTACACTTCCAGGTAGTGGAAATATAGGAACAAAACACTTGTTGCCTCTTAAACAGCAGCTTGCTCATTTGCCTGTTATATCCTACTGGCAGCTTAACACCTGATGATGCGCCAGGTGGTAATATTAGCCTACTGTGTCAAGTTTAAAGATGTCACATTGTGTAAGTTGTATTTATTTTTAGACTTTGTACCACAGTCAAGTCTTATGTTTTTCATTCCTTTATTATAAAATGTACCAAATATTAGTTGTTTTTAATATAATTTGAGCACCAGCAGAATACTCCCATCTCCATATATCTTCGACAAAAATTAGCCTTAATTCAATGGGACTGCTCACCCCAAAATTAAAAATAGATATAGTTTTTCTTACCTGTGGTGGTGTTTATCCATCCATACTGTTTTGGTGTTTTGTTGAGTTCTGGAGATATCGGCCGTAGAGATGCCTTCTCTGCATGGAACCAGTTGGCACTAGGCTTGTGGTGCTCAAAAGAAAAAAACTCAACAGCAATGTCTCTTTCTAGAAATCATGACCTGGTTACTCAAGATGATCCAGAGACCTTATTGTGAGCAGTTTCATGTAGGATTTTTTTTCTTTCTACTGAAATACACCCGCCAACAGTAGCCGAACATTAGCTATCTCAGTTGTGAGCTGCTCGTCCATGAGTAGATGCACGCTTCCTTCTGTGCATTTATACGTAGAAAGAAAAACAGTTCCTACAATTAAGAGGAAATTATGTAGTTTTGATTTTTAGGTGCACTGCCCCTTTAAATTAATCCGGAGAGGATGAGTCAATACCGAGGTTAGTCGAAAAACTAAGTGCTTATAAATTTGTGAACCTTAGCGCAATGTCTGTCTTGCCATGACTGTTGAAAGTGCAGTTTAAACCTCAGCCGCTTACCTACTTATCTCGTGAAATTATAAGTGCTGCAATTTCTCGAAAAGTACAGACGCATAGACACAATTCTGCTCTCTGTATGTCTAAGTCTTGTTAAGACAATTACAAAATTATACCCTCAGTGGATGAGTTAGTATAATCAACACAGCACATCTCCAGAAGATATAAAGTAGTGTCATCTATCGAATTAGGTTGCTTGATTGATATAAAGCACTTATAATAATAATAATTCATACTGATAATTGATCTACCTAATGTGTTACTGCTGCATATGAGACCTGCATTTGATTACTGTATTGCAAAGCGGTATGTAGACTCCTCCAATATTTTCTGGCTCCACATGTAATGAGTATGGATTTGGCACAGAAAATAGATTTTTGTTGTAATTGTAGCTAGTAGTTTGTTGTCTTTATTTTCATTACACATTAACTGGAAGCAGGTTGTATCTTGTCTCTGTTAAGCAGCTGAAGCAGAACCAGATGACGTCATTATACAATGACAGAGTAAAAACATGAGTCCTTAACGTTAACATCATTACTGACTCTGCCATCAGAGTGACACTTGCCATCCACCATGCTCTGGTGCTGTCTACCATCTCCATCGCGTGAGCCACATGTAGGAATTACATCTAAGTTAGCCATATCACTTCCTCTGTCATATAGTCGATATAATCTCTGAACCTGCGCATCTTGAACTTATTACAGTATATGTACAGTGGCTGCTTATCAGTGACAGGCAGATCACTTCCTCAGGCCTGAATGGAGAAGAAGCAGCTCTGGTTAAGCTCAACCTGCGCTCAAATTAAGGCTCATCTGTTTAACTAACCGCAACAAGTGTCCAGAACACTGCCATATGTTGTGTGTATGCCTACATACTGTAGCCTGGATGTTCATGATATTTTTGTGCTGCTGTAGCCTTTATGTTAACATATCAGCATTCAATTGTCCCTTCCCAAGTCCCACCTCTTTTTGCTTTGTGCCCTAATAACAGTTGAGCAAGCCTCTGCCACTTTCTCCTTTCCTGTACATAGATATGCTATGTGCTGGGCTCGTCTATGTTGAGAACGAAGACATTGTGAAGATAATTAAAAGATTAAAGCGCATCTTAACACATCTTAAGTTAGCTAAAGATGTGACTATTGCTGCAGTCCATTATGCTCAGAATTTGGAAAAGAAGGTTGTACTTGATCGACGTCTTTGCAAGCATGCGGTACTAGCCTAATTCTCTTGTCTATTTTCATGCGTACAAACATCTGTTCGTGGGTGTCCATTTTTCCCGAGGACTTGCACTGGCATGCATTTAGATTGGAAGTCAGGAATACCCTCTCGAAACTATCAACCTCCAAAAGTATATGTCACTTTTCACCATGTGGTTGTCTTTTTAACATAGACGAGTCTAGCACATAGCATATCTAAATACAGGAACGGAGGAAGTTGACAGAGGTTCTGACCGCGTCTTGCTCAACTGTTATTGGAGCACAGAGCAAAAAGGGGTGGGACTTAGGAAGGGGTCAATTCAGACTTGAGCCATATTTGACTGGTGCATTTTAGTATCGTGAAAGCAACTTTTTAAAGGGTGAAACCTTTGTAAATGTAACACAAAACACCATTTGGGGCTCTTGTTACTGTCAAGCATTTCTGTGATGAATGAAATATGATATTAAAATGCCTGCATGGTTTTAAGATGCAGAACATCCATAATGCTGCTGTGACAGCACAAGCCTCTGGTGGTGTTTATGTCTAGAAGCGAGGTCATACTGAGGCTGCTCTTGTGACTGATCAGGGTCACCTCTGGCCCAGAGGTCAGGGGTTAAACACATGGGGAGAGGAGCCCTCCTCGGATCAACTTGTGACCTTTCATTCAGTGCTGACGTGCCATCAGTTAGAGCTCTAGTCTACTCAGTATTTTACAGTTTCATGCAACTTTAGACTGAATTACTGCTGTATATGACTAGGAGTCACAATGACAATTACATGACGAGGAACATTATTGTGATTTGATATGTTTTAACTTGTGTACTTGTACACCACTGTCAGTTTTAGTTTGTGGATGCATGCATAGGTGGAATAATCTGGTGCCATACATAAATATGGTACATATGGGTTGTTGTTATTTTCATTACTGATTAATCTGCTCGTTATTTTCCTGATCAATCAATGAATCATTTTCTCTATAAAATACCCATTATAATTCTCCAGAGCTTGAGGGGATGTCTTGTTTTTTCATACCAAGTTTACTATCATATACGACAAGAAAGCAGCAAATCACACTGGAGAAGCTGGAACCAGAGATTGTTTGGCATTTTTGGAAAATGAAAAGGTCAATTGATTCTGAAAATATTTGCTGATTTAACTTAGTCAGAAAATCATCTATAGTTAGAACTGGACTGTATGCACCAACCAGAATTCTCTCAGACATTGGCAAATGATTAAATTTAGGTCATGCAGATACTATCAGCTACACAGATACGGACCATAAATTGGCTTTGAGGCAATCACCATCATTTTCCTTTAATTAACTTAACAAATAAGGATGAAGGTCTTGTTTTTTTTATGTAAAGGCTTGTTCTAAAAGTGAGGGATGGTTGAACTTGACTGAAGTGTAACATGTTTTACCGTCGGCACAGCACTGCCTCAGGACCTGACCCATAGCAAGCTGTGCTAATGTGTAGGTTTTACTGATTTCCTACAGGTAATGTTGTCTCTTCTGTTCTCTCCTACAGGATGCCTCCATCGCCCATCGTTTTCATCTGATGCGGGAAAAACACCCTGAGAAGTTCAACAGCAGGTGAGAGGATAGAAAACAGCTACAAGGAGTAAACCACACTGGCACTGCACAGTCGAAGGATAGGGGTATTTCACATGCTGTTTTGCCAGTCAAACAGACTGTTAACCTTCCCCTGTCCCACGACATCTGCACCATTAGCTAACAAGCAACCTCATAACCATCTAGTGACCTCACACTTTAATCTGGAAACCCAATATCACACTGAGCCGCAATCGTCAGCAATCAATTACAGGACAAAACCCGCCTGCATAGTGGAATCAATATATTGGCAGTGCCTGGTTTGTGTTATGTGCTATGACATGAGAGTATGCAAAGTCAATGTCCAACTATGCTGGAGCCATGGTTTCCATAGTCCAGCCACAGATGTTTGGAATACCAACCATTAGTAGTCTGTTTGCTCAGGTAAAGTTCTCAACCAATTATGATAAGTCAAATGAGGAGTTAATTGTCTAGAAGCAAGGCTGTTCCATTGCAGGAGAAGGGGATGTAGGCAGATGAAGGCAGTTATGACGTAAATGGAGGTTTGCTGCATTCTAATGGCAGAGTAGGTATCTTCAAATGGCAGGCGGTGCGGACAAGTGCATAGCGTCAGATGAGAAGAAATACCTCGGCGATGACGCACTGCCCTTAGCAGCAAGAGTTCAGAAAGTTGACTTCAACCTCGTCACATCAGCAAGATGCGTACACAAGAGACCTTTTCAGTCTGTAACATTGCTGGCTTTATCTGCTACAAGGCTTTCTGTTACACGTTTCATGTTGGATAAAGCTCCTCCAGAGCCACAGAATAGAATTTTCATAAATTGATCATTACTCCTCACTTTAACCATTTTAACTATTCTACTCCTTGCATCGAAACCCCCCCACTCCTACCGTATTCACACCACATCAGGCCCAGCTGCACCCTGGCACCACCAGTGGATAACCAGAGGATTCATCGTCTGGGCCCAGTATTTCAAAACCTCTAATCTAGATCAGAATGATCCAGATTGTGTAATCCTTTTTTTTTTTTTTTTTTTGCTATCCCACTTAAAACAGATCTTTTAGGGTTTGTCCTGGTTTTTCAAAGAATTTTCAGATCAAATCATTTTGATCCAGATAGCACCAGATCAGGATTGCAAAATCTAGATTTGCAGTCTTTGGATAGGCCTCTATATGTTGTAAAAAGTAATTTCATCAACACAGATGTGAAAATGTTGGGAAGTTGTTGTAAATCAGTGTGCATATTATTAATATTCACTGATCTGCATTATTGTTTAAAAATGTTGAGTTTATATTAGTTTCAGTGTTTGTTTTAGTTATTCTATTTTAATGGGGAGTATTTGTCAGGAGCAAGATTTAAGATGTCCAGAACAGTACAAACACCTCAGTGACATCAGTCTCAGTAAACAGATGCACCAACACCTCCTCATGCTTGTTGTGTTGACAAATTTGACCAAATTGACCAAAGCTAAAGATGTTTCATGTATATTTTATTTCAGTTAGTTATGTAAGTACACAATATCATTTCAGTTATTTCAGTTAACTAAAATGTTTTTTCACACCTAGGTCTAGTTTTTACTTTAACTATAACAACCTCTACCAACATCCACCTTGGATCCATGTTGGAGCCACTCTTCCAGTAGGATCACAATCATCCTGATTTTTAGCATCAAAACAACATTTGATCTGAATTTAGGGTAGGATTGGATAATTAAATCTGTATCCAAATTTTGTAGGATCAGGACCACATCTTCTGCTTAGAAACACCCAATTTTGAGATTTAATCCTATCCAGAGATCTTCATTAAAGGTTTTGAAATAATGGGCCCTGGGGACTAGTAATGTCTGTACAAAATTGATTTGCTTAAAGTTGTTGTTCAGTCTGGATTGAAGTGGGTCCACCACTTCCAGAAGAAAGACAGACATTGCCATTCGTAGAGCTATGCCACTAGCATGGCTAAATATGATTAAAACACATTAATGAGCTCCACCAGCTCCCTGGAAGATTTCCCTTCACTCTGGTCAGCATGGGAACTGTTTATTCTGAGCCAGTCTCTTCTGAAATATATGTCTTTAGGTAACTGAGAGACAAACCAACAGTTGTTATTTTTGGTCTTTTCATGAGATTTGTTGATAACATCAACAATCACCGCCCTTATCCTCCGAATACAAACATTAACCACCCTCAGCCCCAAATCCAGTACCATCCACAAATATCAGAAGTTGTCGGGGAAACACAGCCTTTGATGTCTCCCTGCTTTCCCAGCAGTCTTTGCTGTTGCCAACCTTTTGGCCGCTCATTCAGATGGACCTGAGAGAACCAGCAGCAGCAGCATGCACACAGCATCTGCAGACAGATACTGTAGCCTCGAGGTGAATCACTGTTGATGAGTATATAGTGCTGCTTATTGCCTCAATTCTGTGGCCAATTGTCTTTGCTGTAGCCCAAGGCAGAGTCAATAGATTTTCGTTTTGAAATGAGAAAGCCAAAATCTGGAAACAACCCATTTTCTGTTTTTTGTTTAAAGAAAAAAGGGGAAAAAATACCTGTTTTGTTTTCCTGTGTTTGGGAAATAGCTCATTTCCTGTTTTTTTTTCTCATTTCAAAATGAAAATCTGTTGGCCGCAAAGTACACTGACTGATGCAGCCGCATACAAACTCACACCAACCATTTGCCTAAAAGCCTTTCTGTGTGTAATGTATAATAGTATAATATAACGTGTGTTTGAGTCAATTAAACACTAAAAGTGGCCAGAAACAACAGAATTCACAAAGCTTGTTTTGAATGCCACTGACTCACTCGGGAACCGGGTCTCTGTGCAGCTGTCATGTTGTTTGCATGATGACAACAACATGTATACCGCTGCTTCCCTCCACAGTTAATTAGCCTACATACTGCAGAAAATAACAGAAGAAGAGCAGAGAGACTAAGAGAGAGTTTACTCTTTGAAATTCAATAATTAATGCTTAAGTTTCCATCCCTAGTCCCATATCTGTTTTGAGCATCACAGGCAGAAGGAAGAGAGGGTGATAAAAGATGAAAGAGTGATACCTCTCTTCCCTGGGGGGCCCTCTCTTTGATCCATTAAACAACGGCCAGAGTTAAAAGATGTAAAGCATTCACGAGGAGAGCAAGACATATTCAGCACACATAAACTCAGCGGTTAAATACAGTGACCTGTAAAGCTATATTTCTTTTCTACAGAATGCTTTACAGGCGCTCTTTGAAACTATCTTTATTTTACTGACTGATCGCTCCATCGCCGTGTGAGCCGCTCATGGCTCCGATCCAACTGTAGCTCACAAAACATGAACTGTACTGACACAAAATAATACCAACAGTCGAATGTATGCTATTTACAGTAAGCCAGCACTGGAGGTTATTATTGTTCTGTCAGTTTTTTCCTTTAGTGCGTCTACAGAGTAGCAGACAGCTAATGGACAACTGCAACTGTTCTGTTGTTGTCTGACTGATGTTTTGGCAAAGTAAATATCCGCCCTTTTAACAGCTATTTGAATTGAAAGGAGTCAGTGTGAAGAGCGAGCTGTTTTTTCTCTACGGGTGAGCAGATGATAAATCACCTTTGACCTGGTGAGAGAGACCTCGTGTAGCACTTAGCTCAGTGCTTTATTGTCCTCCCTGCCACTCACAATCCCACATTGTCTTTGTGTCTCTCTCAGACACTCACACCACACACCCTCCCCCGCTCGTCGACTAGCACATACAGCCCCCACAGTGTCACCCTTGCATCCCAGGCCGGTTGGGACAGTGGGGATGTGTGACTCCTGACACCTCATCCTGTGGAGCTCCACCAGCACTTAATGGTCACAGTAGCCAGACCTCCAGGAGCCCAAAGCCCAGGTGCTAATGACTTCTCACAGTGGGCACAATGCTGTCTTTCTGTGAGTGTGTGTGTGTGTGTGTGTGTGTGTGTGTGTGTGTGTGTGTGTGTGTGTGTGTGAATGTATCATCCCAAGTGAGGCATTTGGATTTGGAAGTGTCGAGAGGGGAGGGGGAAAATAATCATTTTAGAAATGCATCTTTTTTTCCTGGTTTAGGCCTCAAATCTCGATTTTCTGTATCTAAAGATACAGATGGAATTCCTGAACATAGCAATGCACCCATAGAACCCATTTTTATTCTGATATCTTGAGGTCTGAGGGATCCAAATATTTAGCATGACTTTGTAGTGTTATTCAGCCTCCTTCCAACATGCTAGCACCAATGGATGCTTTAGGTCATGTAGTTTCATATGATACCAGAGCCCATTACAGCCTCTTAAAGAGTGTAGAATGGCAGAGGTAAGGGTAATGGGTTGGCAATTGGGGTGGCCAGTCAGATTTCAAGGCCCTGGCTGAGACAGACTGGCACATTGATCATCATTTTTGTATTAGACACTTTTAGTTATCATAGTTTTAATTTATTGTACTGACTGTAAGGTCACTTTTGTCCCTTACCCCCTCCAACGAGACCTCTGGCCGGACATGTCATTACCTTGCAAGGCAGCAGGACATCATGAAATCCCAAGATAATGCAAGAATCCATCTTGCCAGGCTTTATGCACTTGGTTCTAAACCACAGTGGTTCAGATCAATCAGTGTCCTATGAGGAACTAATGGCAGCTATGGCAGGAGCTACGGGCGTGGTTTAACACTAGATGTTCTTTAAGAACTGGAGAGTATTTCTTCATTGAAAGAATGAGTGCAATACTGAAGGCTTCTCCCAGCTGACTTTGGCAAGACTTTAACTAAGTTATATGGTTCATTGATCTGATTGGTTGAAGTTCACCCATGATAGACAGTGATGGACAGATGGTTCTTCCAATCACCTGCAGAGTATTTTTTTTAAAATGTCTGCCCTTTTCCAAACAGTTTCTAACAACAACTTCCCAGATGGTTCTGTGTAACAAAAAGTTTGCCAAGCTATTATGTGTCCCTTGTGAATACTGAAATTGGTGTGAGGCAGAGATGATATTGTTAAACGCTCTTGTGCTGCATTTGTCTTGGTGTCAGAGAGACTT